TACAAGGATCACACAACATCGAACCCTATCAGATCCTAAATCTTCATGTTGAGACATGGAAGTCTCTTCCTATAGGTCCGCTTGCCCATTCGGTTTGGAGTTGAATACACTTAATTATCCATTATGGGCAACGGAGGACTTCAATAGAAATCTTGAGCGCACCAAAATAATATATATATACTTATTCATTCTAAAAACTTGAGACACCCTTCATCGTTTCAATTATATTTTGACGCTATAGGTAACGCAATGAAAATTATAACGCCGAAATAAATTTTCAAGTCTACTCATTCCATATTCAACGGAACATTTTAATTTAAAAGATCTTGAGTTTCTGTCCACAAATCTATAGTTAGACCATTCGGGGCCCGAAGTGAACGAAGTTTTGAGATCTCTCTTCCTCCCCCCCCAAAAAAAATTGAGATAAGCTCCCTTAAGTACCTGCGGCGTGCTTATTTTTGAGAACCCCTATAAAAAACTATAATGAATAAAAGTTTTGTTTCATTTTTTTAACTATTTATATCATTTTTGCTTTCTAATAATCTTTTAAATAATTAGCCAGTTGAATATCAGGCACGATGAACTTAATTCATGTAAAACAAATAATTTATGTACATTCTTGCATATTTTATGGTTAGGTTTAATACATTTTTATTCTTTATACAATCAATTAAATAAATCGAAACAGAGGAATTTTCAACTAAAACAAACCCTTTGATGTGAGTCCACCCCCCACTAGGAAATTATTTAACTTTATATTACGAATTAATTTTTTTTTTTTTCGATTAGGTTCATCATTTGGATTGGAACAAATATATTAAATTGTAAATGAATTCGAATAATTTTTTTCTTGGAAAAATTAAAAAAAAAACTGTTACAATAATAATGTCATTGTTCTAATATTAGTGTAATATTGTGAAGATTATCTACAGACAGGAATCGAATTAATTTATTGGCATTTTGTTTTAATGTATAATAAAATATTCTGAAACAGAAACAAAAAAGATTACAGTTTAGTCTTAAACATGCAATAAAAATTTATTAGAGTTGATTCATTTTGTAATTTCATTATAAACCTACACTTTAATAAGCAGTGTTTAGTATATTTAATTTTATTTTATTTTAATCGTAAGTAATATTTTATAAATGTATTTTTTTAAGAATGTTATGATAAACTATTATGTCTTCATATATCGCTAGATTTACGTTGCTAATTTTCTTATTATTTGTGGTATATTTATTTATGTTAACCTTAAATATTTCCTCACAAAAATGTCATAATATCAATTGATATCCCTCAAGATTCATGTCCCCGAGACGTCTCAAAAGAAGAGGCCTCGTGATCTCCTAATTTAGATAAATATATTTATTCATGAAATTCACAACGGTATAATGCAAATATATATGTAATAAATGTAGAGAGAAATACAATAGCATGAAAAGGTTGTAAAGAATCTACCCATTGGTAGTAATAAAATATACTTTATTAGAGTGCTACCAATGGATAGATTCTGTACAATCTTTTCATGCTATTGTATTTCTCTGTACCCATTTATTTCATATATATTTATATTATACAGTTGTAAATTTCATAAATAAATAAAAAAATATACATATATTCATCTAAATATTGTACATGCTACATCAGTCAAATCCGATTGCCGTATTGTTGATTTGGAGTTTTTAGTCCAAATCATTCAAGGACCACCAGTGCAGATTTTAAAAATATTACTTTCGCATTGAGCAAGTACCAACACAGTAATGAGCAATCTCTTTAGTAACTTGAGTAATTCGTTAATTCTTACTTTCACATTCATGAGGGAAATTCGCTTGGGAAAGAATGGAAATCAGAGTTCTGGAGACTTTTTCTCAATGTGATAAACCTTTCCGTTCCCAAATTCTTTCTTTTACATATTTTTTTTAAATTTTTGAAATCAGATTTCCCGTTATATGCTACGTGCAGTCATTCGTTAGAAAGAATATATTTAACTCTCTTGATATAACATATAGCTATCATATCTGCAATACTGATATCTTATCTGCATTAGGTCTCCTATCTAATATACCCGTGTTCGGCACCTCAACATGGAAATAAGTAATGTAGGTTCGTTAGAAAAACTATATTATGCATTGCATAAGCCATAATCGTTAAACGAAGTTTAATTTGATGAACTTCCTATTGGTTTTAGTCTATCCTTATAAAACTTAAATAACGATTTGTCTTCTTTTTTTTAAGGCATTGATTAATTCGTTAATTTTTAATCAGCTATAAACTAGTTGGCTCGTGCTAATACTTCGCGGAAAATTGTATTTAGCAAAGGAAAAGCAAAGCAATATGGAAATGAGTAGATCCTATATATTATGTGAGGGAGGAATTAATTGTTTTTCCTTGGTCGATTACAATATTTCATTTAACATAAAAAAATATTTATACAAATTTCTTTGCCTAGTGTATATTTTTGGACGCTGTCTGGAAAAGTAATATTCAAAATAAAGCCTCGATCATGAGATTTTCTAGATTAATAAAAAAATATAAAAGGTATGAACAAAACAATGCCTTTGATGTACAGTATGTATCAGCCTAGAAAAAGAGAGTAGTACAATAGTAAATTAATTTACTAAATCTAATTTTGAGGGTATCATTGTTAATAAATGTCCGACTTTTACGAATTTTTTTTTTTGTTTTGCAGGTAATTAAGTAATATTTTAATAACAATGGGTACAAAGAAACAAATGCATACTTTTTGAGTTATTCACGAATAAAGTTTCTTTTCCTTCATAACTTTTTTCACATAAATTTCGAGTGGATATGACTATTTTTCGCATGTGAAGGAGAAGAATATCTTCAAAATGAATGGTCAATCAATTGGATTTGATGAAGAATTGACGAAGTAATGACGCACTGAAAAAACAAAAAAAAAAACACCTTTTAGAAATAATATACATTTTTTTTGTTTTTTTATTTATTCTATTAAATTTACAATTATTAAAAATGCACACATTAGAAATAATGACAGACTTGAAGAGATAATGCCCAGTGGTAGCACTCCCTATTTGATTCTATGTGAGAAGATCACGAGGCCATCTTCTTTTCAGACCCCTAGGGGGATTATCAGGAATCTAGGAAGAATCAAGGGTGGAAACAAGTGGATTCGGATGGGACTGGATTTTACCATGAAAGGACAGGTATCTGGCTCTGAGAAATAATATATAAGATTGAATTTTCAGCATATATTAAGTTCCACTACGCAGAGTCAGTATCACTTGCTCACCATTTTCGCTACAAGTAATTTAACTTTTGATTCGAGGTAATGTATTTGTTTAATAAACCATTTCCACAAGTTGAAAGCTTCATATACACTATTTTGAATTAAAGTTTAAACATAACTACAGGCAAAATGAGTAAAATTGAAAGTGAAAAATATGTAAGTGAAGTCACAAATCTATCAAATAAAAAAAAAATCACATTCAATCTTAAAACAGAGCACTAATAATGTTAATTAAAACATTATCAAACAAAGGTAGCTAACTTACATCCTCATAAAATTGCTCCAATTTTGAGCTGCATTTAACGAGTCGTTTTTGAGATCCAGGCATATAAAGGAAAATACATTTATATGCTATGTAAGATATGCTTATATGTATGATTAAGGACTCTATGGGATTCGAAAAAAATGATATAGTATAATTGTTCACTAATTCCATATTTTGAACAATCCGAACGATTTTTGAAATATTACCGTTTTTTTTTTTTGTTTTTTTTTTAGAACTTGTTTATTGAGAAATATTACAATCTGTCTCAAAGGACATTTATACCAGTGTTCAGAGAACGCATTCACACTTTATGTACAGTAAATTAACATAACTTAAACTGAATTTGTATGTACAAAAAATAAAAAATATACTAATGCAAATAACCTGTTAGGATATGAACAAGTCCTTCGGCCGGAATCTGGAGAATTTGTTCCTATTTCTGAAATAAAATAATTTTTACAAACGTATGTAAAGAAGCTTCAGATTCTAACGAATCTCCACATTTGGGTTAATTATTTAATTCATACATTTAACACATGATGTTGGATGGGGATAACCGTGTGGTACGGTTTGCAATTGTTTAAAATTATTAGTGTTTAGTGTTGTGTTTTATCGTACTTAAAAACTATAAAAAACTTATTTTGTTTTGTAGGTAGGTATAGTTTTAAGATTTGATGTATTATTTAATTTGAAATTGTAATTAATAAAGATCTTGTTTCGTAGAACCAAAAGCAGTCTATAGTTTATCTACAGTTAACACTAAACAAAATTATACGTATTTCAACAATACAATCTAACGTACTTACAATGTAAAATTAGAACTAATCTAACAGCTGTAACAACACAATCTTTATAGCAATAGCTTGACATTACGCACACATATAAAACAACACAATCTTCACAAACATATTGTAATAGGATTTCAATAAGGTGCCTCTAACCTTTGATGTTATATATAACATATAACCAAATAAATAAAATAACTTAAATAAAAACATAATTTTATACAGTATTTGCATGATTTATTCACTCAGGGAAACCCGTGGAAGGAAAGGCAGGACTCTAGGAGATCCCAGCGCCTTTCTCTCAACCGGATTACTGGTAGTAAGGAACAATGAAGGCTGACCATAGACGATATATAACTATACATCCATCTTGGTATGTTTAATAAAATGTAAATGAAATTGATGTTGATAGAATAATTTCGTGCCTACTGGGTGGAATTTGATGAAATTGATATGGCACTAACTCGTACATTCTTTAAATTTGATCAAAATTGTATTTACGATAGTAGGTGATTTTTGTAATTTTTTATTCCGCCAATGGGGATAAAATAATAAATAATTATTCCTCGTACATCAACCCATGACAATTCAACGTACACTCAATATTTTCAGTTATTCTGACTTGTTAGTTACTCTTAGAGATAATCTTAATAATATTTGAGAGCCTTAAGATTTTGTTTTTTAAATCTTTCTTATAGGAATTTTGAGTTTTCGCTTTCGCTCATCATACCAATGATAGACTAAAATCTTCAAAGGGAAGAGGAGTTGGTCATCAGACCACCCAGGCATTTCGCAACCATCTTGCCGCCTGGGGGAGGGAAAAGAAAGTGCATCCCTTGAACTATTGCGTAACGTTTCGTGCCGTCCCATCGAACGGTCTGGTCCAAGAGCAGAGGGAGCGAGCCAACTATCTCTTTTCATGAGTGCAACTGCTCTCTTGTTCCGAACTTTGGCTCTTTCATGTGAGTTTATGAGCCGTATTGAATTAATAAGGGTGTACGGATCTGAGAGATACGGATCCTGCAATTAGGAACGGTTCAAATCTTCTCTGAGATCGTCGCTGATTCGCTTAACTATTTGGAAGTTGGTTCCAACTGTTTCCTAATAAATTACTCCTCCAAATTTCATCTTAAATCCTGTTTGAAGATGAACTTAGTATTCGGCACTCCATGAACAAGTGTGGCTGAAGTGATTGTGAACCAGGCATAATCCCTGCTGCGAACTCTTGTGATTTAGTACCGCACTAGGAATTATCTATGAACCTGACCGTTAGAAAAAAATATACTTATCTTGTCTGTTCCATGTAGGATGTAGGAATGAATGAATGAAAATAATTTTATTATTCAGGGATTAGTGTCCCTTTATAACAAATTGCAAATACAGAATATATATATATTAATATTTTGGCGTGTCCATAAAACACAATTTAATATTTACAGGTCGATTAGGAATACAATTGAGTTATAAATAATAAAAAGATATAAAAACGTGTAAATATAAAATATATAGAGAAAGTAATTAAGTAAACGAAATATCGATGAATCACAAAATAATCAGAGTATCTGGATATACTTTGAGGTTTTTACGTGCATTTCGTGATCAATCGGATGGGGAATGGAGTAGGTGTTTGTAGAGGAGATATTTGAAAGAGGACATTGATTTTGCGTGTCGAATATCTGAGGATATAGAGTTCCAGAGGGAGACGACTTGTATTAAAAAGGATTTATCAAACGCAGCAGTTCGGCGAGGAAGGGGATAGAGGTCGGACGCACGGGATCTGTTGCGACGGGATTGAAAGGAGCGTTTGAATTGTAGGATCTGTTGAATAGAGGCAGGTCGCCGTGTTCTAATGGCTTGGAATATGAAGGTAGCAAGGAAATATTGACGGTGGTAGGACGGATAAAGGCACTTCAACTTGGTGTAGAACTGGGTAATATGCGTATCCCTTGAGATCCCGAAGATGTAGTACGTAGTAGAGAAAAATATCGATATTTCGATAAAATCGACTATCGTTGGCCATCTCTTAGTAGAGTTAAATAGCGCTTGTGGATTCCTTCTCACTCTGTATACTCAAAATTTGTTAGTTAGAACCTTCTCAAACCAAGGCTACGATTTGTTAAATAAATCTATGTTGTAAATAAATCACCATTTCACTGAATCCGATCTATGGTTGAATGGAAGGCATAATTGCTTGAAAGGTAATTTCTGAAAAAAAAACTGAAAATAAAAAAGATGGACAGGAACTAGAATATTAATTTAACTAAGGAGGGTAGAAGAATTGATATTTCCATTAATTAATTTAAAGAGGAAAATAATAAATTTTTGATGCATTTATTTGCTTGAGAATCGTTATTTTTATTCACATTCATATTTAAAAAATGTTTATAATATCGAAGAAAATATCAGAGAATCGATATATCAAGTCCGACATTTTGATGGAATCGATAGTTATAGTAATGATAGTCTAGTATTAATATCGATGTATCTATTAATATCGATCGATCAGTATCTATATTTGGCCTTCGATATCCCATCTCTAGTTGTACCTCTGAGCCGGATGCGCCGCAGACTAATTATTGAAAACTTATTTTTAAACCAGTCAAATAGATCTGGCTCATTAAATATCCTTCCTGTTGTTTTGGAGATATTTTTCTGAAACGGTATTATAATATATTTCACTAGTTGGTCCGTGCGAAAAAATCGCTGAAAATTTTTTTTAGTGAAGAAATAGCAAAACAACATGGAAATAAGTAGTTCCTATGTATTATGTAAGGAAGATATTAATATTTTTTCCTTAGTCAATTACAATCTTCATTAAACGTAATAGGCCAAAATATTTGTACGAATTGCTTTGCTAGGACCTATTTTTAAAAGCTGACCGGAAAGATGATAAAAGTAATATAGACAAAATAATGTCCCGACCATGGGATATTCTAAGTTATTAAAAAAAAAAAATGTAAGAACAATCAAATTTCTTTAAGAAACAATATATCAGCCAGGAAAAAAATGTAGTAGACAATTCTATTCCTAAATGCAATATCTTTAAATCGGAAGACATTATTAACTATACAGTATCTTTGTTAATAATTGTCCGGTTTTTAGGATTTTTTTTTTTTTGTTATTTCAACACACTTTACTCCTTCCGTAAATACAAATTGTTTAAATTTTACATATTTCTAATCGATTATTACATCTTTTTTTTTGTTTTGTAGGTAATTTAGTAATCTTTCTAATTATCATGGGCACAATTATGAAAAAAATATTTACTTTTTGAGTTATTCGCAAATAAAGTTTCTTTTCCTTCATAACTTTTTTTCCCAGAAATTTCGGGGTGATAAGACTATTATTCGCATATGAAGGAGATGAATATCTTCAAAATGAATGGCCATTCATTGAATTTGGTGAAGAATTGATGAAGCTATGGTGTACCGACAAAAAACACCTTCTAGAAATAATATATAGGATTGTACTACACTTCGTATTTTGTCTTCAAAAAAGACAACAATTTGATTTGCACTAAACTATTTTATCTGCTATATGTTCTCAGATAAATAGTTCACTAAAAGAATATTATTTCTGTTTATGAAAAATATTTAAATAAATTAAATGTTTGATTTATAGATGTTAAATACGACCAATTATACAGACTACTGAATAGAAAATCTCAACTTTCAATTGGCAAGAAATTACTGATCTACAAGACAATCCTGAAACCTATTTGGACCTACGGACTTGAACTGTGGGGGACAGCAAAAGTTTCTAACATCAAAGGCATCAAATCTTTTCAGTCCAAAGTCCTCCGAACAACAGTCGATGCTCCGTTCTATGAAACCATATGTAAGACCTGCATCATGATATCCCATGACTATTTAATATCCCGTTTGTCCTTGATCTTATCCCTGAAAAATTTTCCAAATCCCCTTGCACAATTGCTATCTAGTTCCACTCATCCCTACAATCCTCCTCGAAGGTTGAAGCGGCAGTGGCCCAGAGATCTTTTATAGTATATATCTTGGAGTTCTGGTAATTCTCCAGTTTCTCCACTCAAGACATGAGTGTATGTCGCTAAAGCGCTGTCGCTCAAACTCCACTGGATTTACCACAAGTGACGCGGTTGAGAGAGTAGCGCAGAGATCTCTTAGAGTCCTGCTTTTCCTTCTATAGTTGGAGGGAGAAGCCTGGCTTGGGGTTCCCTGCTTGTTTGTATATATTGTATGTATGTATGACTGTGTTTTTATGTTTTTAATGTACTTATCTTATTTTTTATTGTACATAGCTTTTTTTTATTATTATTATTATCTTACTGTTGTTAATTTTATATTATCTGTATATATGGTGTGAATGTGTTCGTATATCACTATAATTATTGTCTACGAGACAGATTATTGAATGTCTAAATAAATAATAAATATAAAAATATAAAAAAGATTAATGTTATATATATCACTTCTTGTTAATGTTGAAATATTCTAGTAATCCATCAAGTTATTTGTATGCCAACTCCCGGTATCATAGAAAAAATTAATAAGCTAAAAAACAAATAGAATTTACATAGGCTGAATATACAAACGCACTATACAGTTGAGAGCTCATCCTGTGATTTAACAAGTAGTCTAATTTAACATATCAAGCGTTTAATTTAAATTGGAAAAATATCTAGAATTTCATTAAATTAATTCAATAAAATAAATAATTAATCTGATTATTCGTAATAAAAACTTATGAATGGCCTGGGTTCTATATATATGTTACTTTCAGTTTCTTAATAAACGGTTCTACAGCATCTACACTCAACCTCCAGGTTTAACTCTATTTAATGAAAGGTCATTTCTTCATTTACAGTGGGAACATTTTACAGTACGATCTTCTGACCTCATAGCCAAAGATGGTTTTTTGATTATGGTTTTCTGTTTAACCCTCGAAAATGTCATTAACTTTTTGTCAAGAATAAATGTAATATGCCATGCCAGGATTCGAATAAGTATCTTTCAACACTCTCGTATGCTATCTTGGTTATTCACTTACGCACTAGAAAAAAATCCGATATCATAAAGAAAAAAAGATCTCGTATCTCTGTTTAGCAATTCAAATGATTATGCATTTAAATATTGTATTATTCATCAAAATTCAAATCAATTTCGTAAATCAGTAGTGTATTTAACTTGATTTTTAATATTTAAAATATTCTTTATTCAAATCCTATTTTATTTTGATAATGAGGAAGACTATCAAGATTTTCAGTCTATCCAGCCATTGAACCTTATGAACCTTGAATCTAATGAAGATACAGATGAAGATTCACTATAGCTTACAATAAAAGTCCGGAATCTACATTTTTCTATGTTCACAGGTTCCTACAAAGATGAATTATCTCAACTTATGTTTGACCACTAATGTATGCCATAACAAGATCAGCGAATAACTGAGACTGAGATCTTCTGCATAAGAAAATAAATAAAGAGAAGGAATTCTTTTATTCCCTCAATCTAATCCCCTTCGAATTCCACATGAGCTATTGATAACGATACCTTATTAAATTAAGTGTATGAAATTGATTGAAAATATTATGAAATTAGTTGAGAAAATTATGAATTCGGTTGAAAAAGTTATCAACTACACCATAAAAAGCAATATGTCCAGTAACCATTGCTCTGAGGAGGACCCGTATGTTGGGATCGAAACGTCGGCTAACCTAATAAACAATATCTAGATTGCGAATCTCAATTATTTATAATCCTCATAATTTTAAAATAACAGTAAAAAATATATCCATCTTCAATGTCTTTTAATATAGGAAATGAAATGAAAGTTTGTTAGGCGTTTGAATGGTCTCAAAGCAGAAGAAATAAGCCGATAAACATGAAAAAGGATGAATGGGTAACCAATAGAGATAAACAACCCCCAAATGGAATATTAAAAGGAATATAATCTTGAATTAGAATGGATAGGAGCCTAGGCAATATTGATTTATAAGTCCATAAATATTTTATACATGCCGCAAGGAAGAATGTCAGAGAGCTGGAGTTGTTATGATCAACAATGACGAGTTAGAAATATAAATATCGATTTTTTAATATATCGATGTATTAATTTAATAAATCGAAAAATGTCGATATTTCCACATATCGTGTTTCATATTCTTAATCTTGAAAGGAGGAGAATATGATTTCACATTCAATTCAATTTGACCAAGCTATCAAGTTTATTGTGATAGCTTTAATAGCACCAATTATACTAAATATATATATACATATCTTATTACAAAAAAATATTATTAGTTTAGCATTAAATGATTGGGCCTTTCAGTTGACAGAATGACTAACTCCAATTTCAACATTTTTAATTATTAATGCTAGTGATATTACTAGCGGAAAATGTATACCTTTATTCAAAATTCTATATTTGAACACTGCAATCACCTACTCTGGAATCAACTTACTCTCTGTTGAGATATTATAAATGTTCCAACTAGAAATATCATTAAAATTACAACTCAAAAATGTTGAAATTGGTGTCATTTTGTCAACTGAAAGGCTCAATTAATAACGTTCTTTGACAGTTTTTAAAAATAAAAACCTTATTATTAAAACAAAAGAAATCAATAAAATTAAATTAAAAGTTATAGTATAAAAAATAGCTTTTAAATTATTAACATTTATTATTAAAACTTGTTACTATTACCAGGAAAAAAATAATTAAATTTCTCATGAAATTGAATGAAAAAATATAAATAAATTCAAAATTGAATTATTTATTTATTTATTCATTTGCTTCTACCTGCCAGGGTCATCCTATACTCATTCACACTCAAAATTGAATTATTAATGACTAAAATGTACAGAATTAATTTAATCTGTTCACTAACAGAAACAAAATTTAATAATAAAAGGATGTTGACTTCAATTTATTTAAATAATAAATTTTAATACAGCACCAAAGATAAATAACTAGAAAATAATAATATCATTTTTATTTACTCAACATTAATGCGGCTTTTTATTTAGACAATTTGTTTTATTTATTTTTTTTTTGGAGGGGGAAGAAGGGAGAGACATACATCGATATAAAATTATTGATTTATAAATTTATATAAACGTCTATATTTATTATTTAAGTATTTTTTTAACATCCAACATCCATTTGAGGGTCATTTACGGATCAACATATTATTTAATTTATTAACGTACGCAATCGTTGGATGGGCCAGAGAAATATCCAGTTGTCGTAAACTGTACTTTATTACCAATTATTGATCTTAAGACCTCTTATAGCCCATAATAACTTAATTGTAATTAAAACAGTTAATTAAGAACCATTTAACTTATTAAAGACAAATTTTAAATTACTTCTGGCAAGGATCGTTATGGGATAATACAAAAAAAAAAACACCATTATCTTTGAAAATTGTGATCTTTTATCTAAAATATAATTCATATTTATGGATATGAACATTATTAAAATATCACTAACAGGCGCTAACAACAACATTTTCATTAGAATCGTGGACAACTAATAACTACAATGCTTCCACTTTATAGAGAAGCTATTATTTTCTATTGAAATCGATCTCATAGAAATAATGACAATTAATTTTAACTGAAGGACAAATTTTATTGCCTCGGAACAATATTGAGAATTGTAACTCACTTTTATGAGGTGAAGGTTACGTCAACTGTTATGTATAATCTCAATCACTTAAAATAGATGAAGCCGTGTCACAAAGATGATTTTTTATAAATTGAAGAATATTTTCTCGTGTTAGGTACTTACTTAAATAATTCAATTATTGATCTCAGATTAAATAAAAATGAGCCTTTAAATGAATAAAATACCATTCATATCGTATTAATAATAATAACATAAAAACTTTTAAAAATGAGAACTTTTCCGATTACTTCAGCACTTACTAGACAAACGCTCTAACCTTCCAATTAATTACAAAAGACTCATATACATGACTAAAATAAGGCCTATTTGGACTAACGGAGTTGAATTATGGGGCTCCACCAAACTTTCAAATTCCTCTCGTATCCAATCCTTACAATCTAAAATCCTTCGTAAAATTCTCAATGCTCCTTACTCTGTTACAAATTAAATCCCCCATAATGATCTTAATGTTCCTTATGTTTCAGATTTGACGCAATCCAGATATCTATCCTTCCATAGTAAACTTCATAACCATTCCAACCCTCTTGTTTCTAACCTTGCTTCCTCTTGAATTCCTGATAACCCCGTAAGAAGATGGCCCCGTGATCTCCTAATATAGACATATTATTAGAGTGTTACCAATGGGTAGTTTCTCAGCCTGTGTTTCATGTCATGATATCCATGCACGAATTTACTAGATGTATTTTTATTTTTTTTATATACGGTTGTAAATATCATATAAATAAAAAAAACATAAATAAATAAGAAAGTATTTCTTTCAGAAATTATAATTTTTTTTCGCAAGAACCGCCTTATTAAAACATTTGAGTTAATTCAATAAAAACTAAACCAAATCCGATTAAGTTACCGGAATAAAATAAAAAGTAGGATACTCTTTTGGTGGATAAGTATAATAATTTATAACTTAAAATATTCTACTAATAGTCCAATCAATTAATGCCTGAAAATGGGGTATAGAAGAAAATGGCTGGGACACAATTTTATTATTACTATTTTCTTCCCTCTTTCTTTTAGGTTCTTATTTCGCTGTATATTATTTTTTTTATCACTTTATTTATTTATTGTTCCGTAAATATGGTGTGAATGTGTTCTCTGAAGGGTATTATAAGTTGTCTTAATTAAAACAGATTGTAGTATTTATCAATAAACAAGTAATCTATCTGGAACTTAAAAACCTACAATTTGGTCCATGTGTATTATTCAAAAATTATTGTCCGCGGGATAAATAAATTATTATAATTAATGTATATTTTAAAAATAGTTTTTATAATTTATAATTAAATAATTTGTAAAATAATAATTAAAATAAAATAATTAATATTTTTTATATATATTATCCCCCCATTTGACGGGGGGAAAAGGAAAGCAAAAAAAGCCATCCACTATCAGCCTTAACTTTTTGTTTTCTTGTGGGACATCTTTATTGAGTAATATTACTTTTTGTCACAACTAAGGAGATTAGTAATAGTGCTTTATGAAGTTCATTCACGCTTTATTTAGTCTTAACCAACTTATAAAATGGTTATAATTAATACCAAACTAAATGATTACAGTTTACAAATCTCGTCAAACATATTTCAAGTAGTAATCAATCGATCTTAAATCCTACTGAACTATAAGAGACTGCTATTCCGATGAAATGACTACCAATTTTCTCTACAAATTGGTGATAATGAAGGACCATTAAACAAGTTACTACTATTAGCTGAAGCTTGATCTATTAGCCTATGCTCACCAAGATCTACTCCAAGAACTAGATTACCCAGTGTTTGAGGATAGGAGAAAGTCAAGCGATGTTGTATAACAGAGTGAGAGAGGATTGCAGAGACGGTGGTGAAAAATTGCAACTGCATATGGCAAATAAGATGCCTTATATTTTTAATTTAAAATTTCGGTAATATTGGTATTGTATTTTTCTTTATAATATTTTAACGATTTTTTTAAGTTGATCAGCTGGCAAGCATTAAAATATAACTTAAAATACAAGGTTCTGGTTCATAAACTATTCGATTTCTGAAAATTTATTTATTTATCTTGAAGAGAAGAATAGTTGGGGTGGTAAGTCAAAAAGGAAGGTAAAAATAAATGAAATATTTATTTGTTTACATATGCCGACGTTTCGACCTGAAGTTCAGGCCTTCATCAGGGCTAAGAAAATAACCAGATAACAAGGTATGAGAAACATAAGTAATGATGGTAAAAAAGATAATAAAAAATAAAAAAAATTAGAAAAAATAAAATAGATAAATATAAAGTAAAATGAAATTGTTAGAATAATGACTAAGAACTAAGAGATAAATAATAAAAACCGTTACAAAGTGTGGAATGATGAAGTAGGCATAATCAAAAGGGTGACAAAAGTGTTACAATGCGAATCTTAGAAAAATAATAATTAAACTCAACTTCCACTAATTCTCCACAACCCATTTCAGCCCCTATATACAGATCTCTACCTTATATTCCTAACCTTTCAGACAACATCAACAAAGTTTTACGATCTACTAACCCTAACTTACGACTTGCATTCAAATCTCACAACACACTCTCTAAATTATACACATCCCTAAAAGATCCTGTTCCTGTCTCACACCGCTCTCATATCGTTTACCGTATTCTATGTTCTACCCCCAATTGTCTTTCATCCTATATTGGTGAAACCAAAAATCTCCTAAAAGACCGCATAACCCAACATAAATATTCTGTATCCTCTCGTAATTTTACCGCTTCCAAATTATCCGAACATTCTCTCTCCCCCAATCATTCATTTGATTCCGACAAAACATCCATCCTTGCCACAGTTCTCAACCATGACAAACGACTCATTTCTGAAACCCTCCACATCCAGCTTCAACCAAAGACAGTGAATCTAAAATCTGACAAACAGAACTTTTCTTTAGCCTACTCCCAAATTCTGAATTTATTAAAACATCCATAGTTATATTCCTTTCCTTTTTGCTGACAACTTCCTTATATATATATTTATATATATGTATGTATGTGTGTGTGTGTATATATGTATATGTATACAGGTGTGTGTGTGTGTGTATATATATATATTATATATATATATATATATATATATATATATATATATATATATATATGTATATATGTATATATATTTGTATATATGATATATTTTTATTTCAATTTTTCTCCCTTATTACTCAATAGTTATTTTTCTTTTGAATTTTTCTTTCACTTTCTATAAACTTTCGTTCCATTTTCCATAATTTTTCTGAGTAATATATCTCTCGTACCTATTTACACTTCCAGCGCTTTAGTTCAAACTTCGTCGGATAACCGTTAGAGATGAATAACCTACACATCTCTTCTCTCTCCCCCTCCCTTGTAACGACTTTTATTCTCCCTACGACACTTAAGGAGACAGGTAGTACTTCTTTTATTTCTTTCTTATTTCAGCTTTCTCAATTTCTTCCCTCCTTCCTTTCATTCCTTTTCTCTGTTTTTAACTCTTTATTATATTATACATTGTCTGTACATCTTGATAGACTTTACAATATCTCAATTTTCTATCTAACTACTCCATTCTCAATGTTTTAATTTTACTATTTATTTTCATTACTTATATAACTTCATATTTCTTTTTTATGTTTTACATTTTATTCTAAGATTCGCATTGTAACACTTTATAACGGTTTTTATTATTTATCTCTTAGTTCTTAGTATTATTCTAACAATTTCATTTTACTTTATATTTATCTATTTTATTTTTTCTAATTTTTTTATTTTTTATTATCTTTTTTACCATCATTACTTATGTTTCTCATACCTTGTTATCTGGTTATTTTCTTAGCCCTGATGAAGGCCTGAACTTCAGGTCGAAACGTCGGCATATGTAAAAAATAAATATTTCATTTATTTTTGCCTTCTTTTTTTACTGACCACCCCAACTATTCTTCTCTTCATTATCCACGACAGTCAATCAATTACCAATTATTTATTTATCTATTAGTTACACATATTCCTGGCTCACAATAAATTTGCCATCTACCTCGGTATTCAGCAAATATGATGTTAAGGAGAATAAATGATAGCATGAAAACAAAAAGAATAGTAACAACAAAACAAAAGTACAAAAAAATACAGAAGTATAATAACACACACAAAAAAAGATATACTGCAAATAGCTCAATGCAATAATTCTCTTGGCCAGAGCCCCAGCATTCTTCTGGGCAGATTATATGGATCTGTGGCAGTCGATATAGCTTGAGTAACTGGATTTGAATTTAGAGTCAGTCTGTCATGAAAATTATTAAAGCGGTCAGTGGCAGTTGTCGTAATGAAAGGAGTGTTAAGGTCAGTGTGTAACGTGACGTTTAAAACATAAAAGGGAGCGTCTACAATTTTCCGAAGGACTTTTGACTGGAATGACTGGACGATTTTTATATTTGATTTCTTTGCTGTTCCCTATAGTTCAATTCCATATATTTCCAAGTGGTTTAATGAGGACTTTATACATAGTTAATTTAGAACGTCTGTCAAGTAGCCCAGAAAGAAGTCCGTATCGCTGATTAAGTTCTTTTCTTTTTTGTTTTATGTGGTATGTCCATGTCAATCGTTTGTCCAAGTGGAGACCCAAATATCATACAGTTTTTGAAGGTGATAGAGCGATATTATTAAAGAACACTAGAGGACAAGAGTCATGTCTAAGTGTAAATGAAACAAATTGTCTCTTAGACTCGCTCATTTTTATCCTCCACCTTTTAGCCCAACAAGTTATGTCAGGTGTTCTTGAAGTACCTGAGAAGCCTTAGCTGCATCCTTGTTAATATTGCCGAGTCATCAGCAAATGTAGCCAACAGTGTTTCAGAATATTGTGGGATGTCTGAACAGTAAATGTTGAAAAGTGTTAGATTTCTGAAATAAGGTAAAAAAAGAAGTTAAGGCTCCTCGAAATTTGCATCAAATGATTCTTGACTAAATGCCTTACCATATTACAAAGTACTAATGAGAACTTTGTGAACATACGGTGTCGAGTTATGTGACACTATCAAAACTATAAAAAAAATATATTAAGAATTCAATCGTTTTGGATAAGATTATTGCGAAATAAAAGGTATAAAAATTATTTAAATATTTTATATTTATGAGTTTATACCTCGAATATATAAAAAAGCTGTGTTAAAACATGAACGTGGGTAATATGACTGTCCATAACAATAAGAAAGGTCGCTCAAACTTTCGCATCATTATGCACCAAACAAATGCATTAGAATAATTTTAAATTATTAATTAATGATTTTTATTATGTCATTGGGATGAAATTATTATGCCAGTTTTTTTTTTTTTTTTCGTCTCAAAATTACGTCACAGTCCAGCTTAAAATAGCTTGCCCTTTAAGAGTACTTTTTTTAAATATATGAAAACTTAAATTTAATATTAAATGGAAGCCATGGAATTCCTCTCGTATCCAATCCTTACAATCCAAAATCCTTCGTAAAATCCGCCATGGTTCGCTCCTTACTTTGTCACAAATAAAATCATCCATAAAGACTTAAATGTTCCTTATGTTTCTCACCTGACCCAATCCAGATACCTATCCTTCCATAACAAACTTCAGAACCATCCAAACCCTCTCGTTTCTAATCTTGCTTCCTCTTCGATGCCTGATAAACCTCCAAGGTGTCTGGAAAGAATATGGCCTCGAGATCTCCTGTTGCATTAGATAAATACATTTTTAGAGGATAGTTTAGATAAACTACCAGAGGATAGTTTCTCAACAAGTGGTTTCACGTTATTATATTCTTGTGTTCACATTTACTGAATGTATTTTTATTTCTAATACAGTTGTAAATATCATAAATAAAAATTTAAAAAATCAATGGGTATCCACCAAGTCCTTCTTCCGCTCTTAAAATATCAAATTTCAAATCTCAAAATATTATGGTCTTCTGTAATACACCATCAAATTTTAATTGGAGTGTAACTGATGGGGAATTCCTCTGCAAACCACGAAATAAGATTAATACATTATATTTATTATTTGTATGGCCATCATTTGCTAATTAAGACCATTTCATCAAAGAATCATGGTCAAATGATTGAATGATTGAATAAATAACGGAGTAATGATACAGTAATTTTATTCTGACATACCTCTAACTCCACTTGTACATCCCTTCAAAAAGCAGCAAAACTCGATGGTAAAGGACTACTTTCTGCCAATTTTAATGCGGATATCCTTCCATAAACTATAACGTTATTGTAAATTGGAACAATCCTGTTATCTTCTTTACTTACCCGAAACTAAATCAATACTTTAACGCTTGTTTTCCGTGAATGTTTAAGAGAAGAAGAAACATCAAATTGGCTGAATGGGTCCTTTTTAATTGAGTTTCATAAAAGTATTCATTTTTGAAGGAACGTTCAAGTGGAATTAGAGGAACGACTATGATTATTACCTAAAATTAAAACATACTTTAACAGGTAAAAGAGATTGATCATTGAAGACTTGGAGAAATTAATGGATCGCTTCTAGGAGATAGGATAAATTGGTTGAGATAATCTAGATATGGTTGGAACAATGCATGGTGAGGACATTACTAGCATTGGATGATTTTCTGGTTCTTACATATTGGAATAGAACATCGAGGAGGTATTGCTGGCGGAAATTGATAAACAATAAATGCTGTAAATACCAACTAAAGATATAAGACCGTTTAGGAACCTTAGATATAAGTTTATTAATCTGTTTGGTCCTTCATAAATCCCACTCAATATAATATGTGAGAAAAAAAAAAAGAAGTACAAATCGAAAAGAATTCCCTCATGTATACAATAACAATCTCGAACTCAACCAAGTCACATTAGTGAATGAATACATTAGGAG